GGCTCTATTCAGATAGCATGCTAGGATAAGTGTCCCTCACAGATTAGCCAGCAAGCTAGTTTACATATCGCTCTTAAATAATGCAGCAAGCAATGGAAACTTCTTGTAAAGTTTATCGGACGTAAGGAAAAATACAGAAATGCACTATAAACCCGAATCGATATCCTTGGCAATAAGAAGGGACTGTTTTGAAACACAAACGCTCTATCATACCTTCACTGTCTCCTCAATGGAAGCTGAAGGCTAGTCGGCTAATAGCTAATAGCAATGAACGCGGGTGTTCAGCGTCTGGGCTGAGACTCCAGGACCCGGATGAACGCGTACAGGACTGACGATGAGGAGGACCTCCCTCTCAGCTTCGGTATGTGAGGGAGTTGGTACATTACATTACATTACATTACATTACATTACATTACATTACATAAAATAAAATAAAATAAAATAAAATAAAATAAAATAAAAATATGTATGTAATAACTAACTAAATAAATATGTATTCTGAAAAGAAATATGTAATTATTTGAAGAAATCATTATATAAATTATCATTACATTTTATTTGAATCGCCAAAACAATTAGTGCTTTGTACAGTGTAGAATAGCCTATATGGATATTTATGGAAAAGTTCATATTAACTGACTGATTGATTGTGCATTTAGCCTCAACGGCAACAATAGTAGCCTATGGAAATTGTGAGAAAATTTAGCACAAAATTACATCTTGAGGAAGAAAACAGATGATCCAGGTAGCTATTTACGTTTTCTGTAACTCATTTAATAATTGTTGAGTACATAGTATAGTCAAATGTAATGTTTACTATAATTACAAATGTATATGTGATATACTATATTAAAATATAATTACTTGTGATCGATAGTTATTGGAAATATTATACAATTTTAAAAGTGAAGTTGCTGTGTATCACCAACCACCAGATGGTGCTGTTCAATTGGCTATAAAAAAAGTCTTGCTCGAAGATACAAGCTGCTTATGATGAAAGTATAGATAAGATTCAAGATTTTTTTTTTTTAAACACTAATATCTAGACCTAGGCTACTCATCTGGATTAAAAACACTCACTGATTCAACCAATCACCAAACACTGAATTTCACTGAGCAGAGTCATGAACAAAACTGAAAAAAAAAAATAGTATGTTAAACTATAAGTGCAAACAGCCTTGAAAGCAGAGCTAAGATCCAGGAGAAGAGTGTACAGTCTGCCATGTGTCAGTGTAGCTATATAAGCATTCAAATAAATATTGAAGGAGATGCAATAAAATAAAATCATCTGCTCATTTTATTTTTATTTTTTTGAGAAAAAGATCCACAACTTATAAGACCAAGACTTTTTAGCCAGTAGCCTACTGTTATTAAATGATCAGTGTGTGTGAAACTTTATCAGATTGCCACGGTATATAGTATGTAGGGGCAATAACATGAAGACATTTATATCTATATTATCTGTAAGAGGATCTTAAAAATTTGTACATATTTACCTCTGTTTTCCACCTGACACGTCTTGATCTATGAATCACCAGTATAAATACAAATACTTGATATTCACCCCAGATAGGCTACTACACAGCATAAATCATCTCTGAAGACAAGTTGTACAAGTATTTTTATTTTCTGTACAAGCATAAAGAGAGTGCCATCCTAAAACAAAATAAACCAGAGATGAACTTCTTCATAGACACCAGCAGCATTCTGAAAATAAAGTGTTCTCAAATTATACAAAATAGCACATACCTAAATGCATCTTCATATCTGGCATCCCTTTCAATTAGAATATAAAACACCATTTATCACACTCTCTAGTGGATTTATGCATGGAAAAATACTTTCTGAAGTAGCATGACATGAGGCAGGGAAAAGGGCACCCTTTTACGCAACTTCAGTTTGTTTGATGCACTTCTGGTAATAATTATGGCTGCAATTGGCAGCTCCAGAACAGGCCGAATGAAAAGATCCAGACACACAAGACAAGACAGAGTCTTATAAAGACTGTTTTGCTAAGTACTTTTCAAACTTTGTGTGATCTTGCCTTATTAAAAAACTGGAGTTGGTTGCAGGGCAACACTTTGGCTACAGCAGGAAACAGAATGATCAGAATTATTATTTGCAGCACTTGCTGAATCAGATGACCTCCATCGAATTGATGTTTCTTTCATGAAATCATGATCCACACGTAAATAAACAGGATTTATTAGTTTAATAAAGAAACTTGCTTAATGAAGGCAAAGTTGAATTAGGATGTTAATAAGACAGTGTGCCAAAGGTAACATTCAGAATGTTCATTTTACAGACTTGAATGAAAATGTAATAAATAAAAAATATACAGTGTTTTGGAAAATCCACAATAATCTGTCTTCAGGAATCTGACAAGAAAACATTTTGCAGTTCTTCTATTAACATGAATAAATAAACGTATTCTGCTGGCTACATGATACTTACGATACAAAAGACAATGATAACATTTTAGTTGACAAATGAGGTCAGTTTCAACACAGTGTTATCAAGTACTAAAACACCACATGACAAACATATTTGTACATATTCCTTCATATTTGTTCTTTTTAAGTTAAAGAAGCAGCTTAGTTATGAATAATGCCAATAAAAGGCGAAAAGCATCCTGCAAAAGCCTGTCTACAGAGAATTATTTTGCCTCATTTTAGCAGGAATTGTATTGATACATTCTCAGATTATGCTGAGGCCATGCTGAGCTATTCCTAATGTAAACTGCATTGCATTATGAATGAAAGCATTCAGTTGTCCTCTATTGTACCTTAAATACAAACCTTTTTGAAACCTTTAATACAAATTGCAAAGGCAAGAATGAGCAAATCTGTCAATTTGCTTCATTCAGTAAAAACATTAAAGATTATATCTTAAAATGAGATGTTGCACAGTGATATTATTTGGTTTAGTAAATAATGAAGTACATCTACCATTATACTATTCAAACAGAATTATACGACAAAACATATTTTCATGAGAATCCTCAGTTCATTAGAGCCAAACAAAAGCATAAAAATAAATACATGACATACTTATTAATAAATAGTTTCCTCAGTTAGCTAATAAATATTGTGTATCAAAAATAAACTATTAAGAAAAACAAATTAGAAAAATAGCCTAACAAAACCTTGTGGCACATTCATGTATGGCAGTAATTATTGTTCTTTTTTTTTGAATGAGTATTCAAACAGAAAAAAAACTGTAAATCTGTTAGTTTGTGTCTTTCTTTTTTAACTACAAAATTACAGTAGACTCCAGATTTCAGTTTCCCACCATCTTGCTCAGGGTACATGGGAACAGTGGCAGGTCAGCTCAAGCTCCTCCATTGCTTTTGTTCTCAAATCATGGAGTACAGGAATCATGACGTCTTTCAGAGTCTTACAGATTAACTGTCCGTTCTCCGAATCTGAGGAAATCTGGATTAGACAAATATTAGAATCACATAATTAGGATAAATAATCTAAAAAGTACCACAAAACCTTACTAGGAGAAAAAAAACATCTTGACTTTGTGGCCATGACTTACCCAAGTGAATGCTTTGATTGTGCGTTCAAAAAAGGCATTCTCAACCTCTTCTGGTATTTTAAGCAAATGAGCAACACAGTCAAGTATACACAGAAGGGTCTGTTTTTGTCCCTAAACAACATAAAAAGACACACAGATGTTTTAGCGTACACATTATCTATGTAGATGGTGAAAAAAGTCACATTTGCAATAAAATATACTCCAAAGCAGTGGTTCTCAACCAAGAGGCTGGGGCCCACTAGGGGGAATCTTCCAGAGGAAGGCCCAATAAGTCTTGATATTAATTACATTTAATTATTTCAACAATCTTTAAGTCATGATGATATGGACGATATGGAGTGGAGGCATATGAATGTGAGTCTCCAGAAAGAAGTCTGACACTTTCACCAGAAGGTCAAGTTATGCAATTTTGGATATTAAAAAAACATATACACAAATTATACTGTTCACAATAAGATTTATAACATGCATTTAGAAAATAGAATGAATTTTGATTAATTTTTTTCACTATACACATTGTTTCAAAGTAGCTTTATAGAAAATCATGATGTTAATGTTGAAAATATCTTAATATCTTTATGCTTTATAGTTGCATTTAGCAGATGAGTACTAGGTGATAATACAGTTTACATTTTGTGATGATACAAGCAATCAAATAGTTGAGAAATGCTAAAGAGTATATATAGCTAGTATATACTATGCATGTATACTGTATGGAGAAAGGATAAAGTTACAGATCAAATTTGGCATACCAACTTTAAATAAAGAGGTGTATGATAATAGTTACATTTTGCAACAACAAAAGCATGCAGCTGAGATTTGCTATACAGTACATGTCGCTTTATGTGCGTGTTCTGTATGGAAGCAAAAAAAGTTGGATATAATATATATATTATATAACTTCATATATTGAGTTGTTTGATAAGACAGTTTAGATTTCATGCCGATTTGAATTAAAATGCAAAAAAAACACAAAACATAATTTGTGATGAGGTGGAAATGACGCTGTGGCGGGAATTCACCAAAGTCCAAAGGGCCAATAACTGAAGCTCTATATGTTGTCTATTTTTTATTTACAACCATAATCTGTCCTTTCTGGATAACTGGGAATATGAATTATATAACACAGAGGATCTCTCATCAGTGCTGACTCTTCCTTAATTTGAGAGATATTTCATGCATGTTTCGACATGCTGTGCTCTTCGGAAATTGTGCCTTACATATTTTCCCAGAAGGTGCTGTCTATATAAGCACAGCACCACTCTCAGGAGATCTTGTTAAGGGCTGCCAATCCCCCTAAGCCTCAAAACCTGAATGGAAGCTGAACAACACCTGCAAGCATAACCACTTCATGCATAGAAAGCAAATAATGTTTAAAAGGTTCTTTAGCTTGTCAAACATACTGACAATTTAATGTGATAACGGTAAGGATTTAGTAAGGATTTATACCAGCCTGATTCCCCTGACTACTGAGAGAGGAAGAGATGCATGTCTGTGTGCATGTGTGATTTACTCACTCCCCGCCTCCATGAAAACCTCTGGGCGATAGGTGAAACCGCTCTCTGGCTCCAGAGTGCTGCCGCAGCTGGCATGTTCCCCTGGACGCTGCAGGTTGATTATTGTCTTTAAGCCACACCTAGAAGGAAGTAAGATTTAGCATAAGCAAAGCCTTCCATGGTGCATCTTGGGAATCAGTTATTGGTAGCTTGCCACTGAGTACAACATACGCATGAAACTGTTCGATGACGTTGAATTTTTCAATGATTTCAGTTGAAGGTCTTGCCATAGCTAACAGATTATCAGTTATCCTGTGAACAGAGTATGAATTAGATATCAACAAAATATCTCACTCAGTAACATTAATACAAATATTATAAAATAAGACAAAAAGGAAAACAAATGGTTAATGTGCAAACGAGCAATTGTATTTATTTATTGGCGTATCAGTATCAGGCAATATTCATGCGAATAAAATAAAAATAATAAATAAATAGATAAAAATTAATTAATTAATTAAATGTTCTGGACTGACCATGGATGGACAAGCAGTTTGGAGAATGGATGAAAAAAAAAATCGTGATTAATCGCATCCAAAATAAAAGTTTTTGTTTACATAATATATGTGTGTGTACTGTGCATATTTATTATGTATATATAAAAGACGCACACATACAGTATATATATTGAAAATATTTACATGTATTTTCATGTATATATTTACAGTATATTCATATAATTTATATTATATATAAATATATTTCATATATAAACAGCATATTTTTCTGAAATATATACTGAACATGCATGTGTGTGTATTTATATATACATAATACATATAAACAGTACACACACAGAATATATATATATATATATATATATTATTATTATTTTTTATTTTTTTCCCCATATCAGTATCAAAGGCAATAATTATGGAAAATATGTCCATCTATCTAGGATGGACAAGCGGATTGGAGAACAGATGGAAAATATTTTTTGTTTGTTTGCCATATTAGTGTCAAAGGCTATCTTCATGAAAAATTAAGTTAAAATAAAATGTGTTTGACCGGTCATACATCCAGGACAGACTAGCATTTTTTTGGAGAATTAAATTAATAGTCTTTTTGCATTTTTTCTTGCTCTTAACTAACAATATATTTGAGTTTTGAATTGTTTAGGACTAGTACAATGAATCAATGTTGACTGAGAAGAGAGCGAGAAGACAGCTTACCAGGAGGAGTACAGTCCTTTGATGGCTTGTTCTTTGTCGCTCCAGCGAGAGGGGTTTTCGTATTTGCACGCTCGACCACCACATGCCATGGAGCACTGCATATGTCCTGGGATGACATGCCTCAAAGTCTCGCCCACTTTAGTGTACTTTGCAGTGGGTACTCTGACATTTACTGGAGAGATAGTTGAAGAAAAATTAGATTTCCAAATTCAGTCATCAGACTAATTAGCTCCAACTTAAACATGACATATTACATCCACAATCTGTGATGTCAGTCTGTGCCTTGGACATGCTAAGCGCCACAATGACCCTTTGAGAAGAGGAAGTCAGAACTTGCATGGCTGAGCTACGCCGCCTCTTCAGCAAGATCTCTGAAACTGAGTGCCGGCGCGTCTTTCGAAAACCCATGAAGATCTCATCTACCAGGGAAGAACAAGCCCATCGCTGCATGTCTCCCGTCTAAAGTACCGATGACACTACATTTAGCACAGCCTGAACAAACTAAGCGCTGACCCCAGAGCAGTGAATCATCGCTACACAATCACTGCACTGCACAAAAGAGGCATGAGAGACCAATCCAATCCAATCGGTTCATCAGTTGCACTTGAAGGGGTTCTCCATGGTGATCAAGTTCGAAGTCAGTGGGAGGCTGTGCAGAAGCTTGAGTGTGTGTTGTCTCAGGTGGAAGAGAAACAGGGTGATGTGTTTTATGGAAATGCTCCGGTTGCATAACCCTGCATGCGTTTCAACAAAATGAGGCTTGAATTACACCTTTTCAACTAATGTACTCCATCTGTATATATAAATACACAAACATACTGAATTAAAAAAATATTTACATGTGTGTATATACAGTATATTCATATAATTTATATTATATATAAATATATTTCATATATAAACAGCATATTTTTCTGAAATATATACTGAACATGCATGTGTGTGTATTTATATATACATAATACATATAAACAGTACACACACAGAATATATATATATATATATATATATATATATATATATACACACACAAATTAAATTAATAGTCTTTTTGCATTTTTTCTTGCTCTTAACTAACAATATATTTGAGTTTTGAATTGTTTAGGACTAGTACAATGAATCAATGTTGACTCTGCTAAATATTTGACATGTTCATTTCAAACAATGCACACTGTTTGAGAAGAGAGCGAGAAGACAGCTTACCAGGAGGAGTACAGTCCTTTGATGGCTTGTTCTTTGTCGCTCCAGCGAGAGGGGTTTTCGTATTTGCACGCTCGACCACCACATGCCATGGAGCACTGCATATGTCCTGGGATGACATGCCTCAAAGTCTCGCCCACCTTGGTGTACTTTGCAGTAGGTACTCTGACATTCACTATAGAGACAGATGAAGAAAAATAAGGATTCAGAATTCAGTCCTCAGACTAAATAGCTCCAACTTAAACTTAAAGATGACACATTACATCCACAGTCTGTGATGTCAGTCTGTGCCTCAGACATGCTAAGTGCCACAATGACCCTTTGCGAAGAAGAAGTCAAGACTTCCACAGCTGAGCTGCGCCTCTTCCTCAGGATCTTCAGCAAGGTCTCTGAAGCCGAGTGTCGGTGCATCTTCATGGGAAACCCATGAAGATCTCGTCTACCAGGGAAGAGCAAGCCCGTCTCCTGTCTAAAGTACCGATGACACTACATTTAGCACTGCCTGAACAAACCAAGCGCTGACCCCAGAGCAGTGAATCATCGCTACAAAATCACCGCGCTGCACAAAAGAGGCATGAGAGACCAATACAATCCAACTGGTTCATCAGTTGCACTTGAAGGGGGTCTCCATGGTGACCAAGTCCGAAATCAGTGGGAGGCTGTGCAGAAGCTTGTGTGTGTTGTCGCAGGTAGAAGAGAAACATGATGATGTGTCTTATGGAAATGATAAAGACAGCTCTGGTTGCGTAACCCTGCATGCATTTCAACATAATAAGACTTGAATTACACCTTTCCAACTAATGTATTCCATCTGCTATGCCGAATACAAAGATTTTATGTAACTCGGAGCACAAAAACTGAATACTACATAAAAGAAAAGTGGTTTCCTCATACGTTAATCGAATCAACATCTGAAGAGGCTTAGGAAAGTTTTTGTTACCATGGCTATTAGAGTGTCCCTTCTCACCTAGCCTACTTGAATTCAGAGGTAATTAAAAGGAGATACATTAACACTATAGGATAAAGGCATCATATACATACAAATATAACATTGTTATTAAGAGGGCACTGGCTCTGTAACAACATGCTTTCAAAAGACTTACCATAAGATAATGTAATACATATTTTCAGTATTTCATCTGTGTTAAATTTTGCTTTGATCCCAGAAATGAATGGCTAACATTCATTAATTAGCAGTAACATACATTACAGCTCACGAGAAGGACAATGCAGCTTGTTTTCCCCTTTTACTCTGTAGATCAAGCGTTTGCCCTTATGCGCATCGTTTCGAAACAAAATCGAGACACAAATACACAATAAAGGAGTTTAAAGAGCAGATCACTAGATTAACTAATAGACTGTATGGTTAATCTCTTGCGGTGCATTTCTCAGCTAGCTAACCATTAATGCTACTGTGCTACAAGCAAAGGCTAACATTAGGGCTCATGTGTCCGATTGTTACATACCTTGGTCCCTGTATCCGCTTTTGTTAGCTAAAGACCATTGTTTCCATTGGGGTCATGGTGAAATGCAAAAGCATGGATGAACAACAGACAGTTGTCGCGTGCATTTGTATCAGTTTCGCTGCTCAAGGGGATGCTACATTGTAACAGGTTGGAGGAAATAGATAAGGCTTGTCATTGGCCGATCCGTGGTCATGTGATCAAATGAGGGCTATAAAGCACGGGTGAAGCGCGGCGAGCGCATGAGGAAATGGGGCTAAACACTTGAGGAGCAGTACATTTGAGTTTCATGCTAAGTGTTATTGACTCATCTTAGTAGTGTACTTGATCTACGTAAACTAATAAACTGAAGTACTCACAAATACATATCACTGCCATTATAAATAATGAAATCGGCAACACTTTTTTTAAAGGTGTCCTAGTTACACATATTACATGTACTTACTATTATAATAACAATAAATTATGCATAATTAAATGGAAACGTATATATCATATATACCTCTAACCACATATTAAGTAGGTCTACATGTAGTTAAGAATTATTACTCAGTACTTAAAAGAATAATTACACTGTAACAAGGACACCTTAAAATAAAGAGTAACCATGAAATCAAATTGCATATGGTAGTCACGAATTGCCATTAGCTTATGTATAATAATGACGGCTATAATATATAATAAAATAGTCAAATAGTGCAAGAAGCAAGAACATCTGACCTTTAGTAAAAGGAGTTCACGTGGTCAACAGTTTAGTCTGGGTAGCGCCACATTTAATTTTTGACAGGAATGAAAACGAGGCTGAGTGATAGAATTAGCTGCAGGGAATTCAATGGACTGTAGCCTACTGTTTTTAACAACATACTGAAACGGGCTTCCATAATATGTCAAAGCGTCTTCCCGAATAAAAACTTTTAATAGACAAAATTTCAGTAGACAAAAATATTGCATAAAAATGCTCACAGCATACAGTGCGCGCCTTTGTAAAGACCGCGTTAAATTCAACATGGCGTCTAATCTAATTAAGGGTTATGAATTGGTGGCCTGTTTTAAACATTTCAAAATTCTACAACACTCAGTTTTTCCCCCCAAGTTAAATTAAATTTGGAATCCCAGATTTTCAGTGTTGTGAACTCCGTATAATTAGGCATGCCTGATCAGATTAGATGGATGTTTATGATGCTCTAGACTGACCAGGGGTGTCTTGTAGGAAGCTTGGTGGTGCACATGGTTAAGCACATAGTAGCTTAACACACTAAGCCTTTTGCTGAAGTGGTTCCACTTCCCACAGTAGGCTACTGCACGGTTAATGGCTATAGCCCCACTGTTTAATTACAGTATACAGTTTAAAACTATTTTTTTTCTGAACAGTGTTTTCAGTGCACACATGCAGCTAGTAAAAGACTACATATATATATATATATATATATACATAAATCGATAATTACATCTGCTTATTGATATACACTGATGCTTTGCAATGCAGCATTCACGTGATGTCGCCTAGTGGTTGAAATACAGAAGCGCTCCCACCAGAGGCTTGCCTACTATCTTAGGTGAATAAGGAGGAGTTGGATGTGTATAATGACTTTTTCTTTCTTTCTTTCTTTCTTTCTTTCTTTCTTTCTTTCTTTCTTTCTTTCTTTCTTTCTTTCTTTCTTTCTTTCTTAGAAAACGTCTTTACAGAAATGTCCATGTCAATATCTTTATTTCTGTGATTGCAAATATGTAAATTCAGTATTTAAGATATAATAATACACAACAAAAAGTAACAATAGTAATTAGCCTATAATAGTGAAAATCCAGATATAGATACGCACTTTATGAAAGTAAAACAACATAGTTTCGCATGAAGAGACAGAGAAAAATCGAGTGTGATGAAGAAAGAATAAAAAGACTAAAAAGAAAATCATGCTGCTGCATAATTCTGGAGTTAATGTTAAAATCGACACAATTCAGTGGTCTATCATCTGTCTAAAGGAGAGACTTTACCACTGACCAGAAGTGTCTCACTTTACAATTAAAGATATTTTGCATTAGTCTATTTATGAATTTTTCAATATGAATAGGAATGCTATGAATACACAAAATAAACCAAACTAAAAGATGTAAGCATTTTGATCTAATGACCTTGCGTAAAAATAGCACCTTATATTGAAAGATTACAAACAGTATTTTGATTATAACACTTGAATTGCCATGTTAAATGGATTCACTGTATTTTCAATTAAAAAAAAGAACTGAAATTCAAAACAATTTCCTGACGATGGTGAATAACCTATAAATGATTCACTGCCTCGGTGCTTCACAAGGACATCTGAATCCTCAATGTGACCTCAAGGTTTCTACAGGCTTCCAGGAGGTTCGGAGAATATCTGCTACATTTAAACTATAATAATGCAACATCCTTTGGAGATTGGGGCGCACTACTACCCCCCGGATGCCCATCCAGACCAAAGGTCTCACAGGTACAGGAGTTTCATGATTGAAGAGATTCTTACAGACCATCCGGGTCACAAGGTATCAAGTCCCACTGGAGACCTTCTAAAATTTGGAGTACATGCCCTTTTGTCCGCCAGACCATACCACAACCACTTAGGTAAGTACCGTGACCTTTCAGTCAGACGATATTTTGAGATCCGGCATGGGCAATCCCTTAATCTTAACCTTCTCTTAATTCAGGGACATTCAAATTGCACAACCTCTCGATTTGCCTACTCACAGGGAAAAGATTCCACATTGTCTCTGCGAACCAATATAAAACAAATCAGATCGAATAATATTCAATGCATTGGACCGAGCACGCTTGTAAAAATTGCAAATGCACGTTCATTTCAGGCCCTAATGCATGCATTTCATGCTTTTTTATTTATACTCTAGGAAAGAGTTCTTACCAGCACATGCATGAAAAAAAAATCACGAAAATAAAAACGTTTTTTATGTGCCCCTTAAACTGTAAAATAAAATAATAGTGGTGCAAAAGTAACAAACTGCATTGATACATTTACTTCACTTTTTCAACAACTTTGAAAATTCAGATGAAACTGCAAAAATCAAGGCTGAAATTATTGTGACAAGTTGAACGTTTAGAAATAAAGATGTTGTAATGAAAACATTTTTACACTGAGGAAAAATAATGCAGCTTTCAGTTGACGTTGAAATATTACAGTATGAAAAATAAAACTGTACATTTTTAAATGACACCACCCGTTATGGATGGAAAGATGTAAGCAAAAAATAATCCAAGACGTAATTTAAATAACTAAGCATTAGTCTGTATCGCTATTCAAGTTTTTTAGTAGGTCTATATTACGTAAAACTCCTTATGGATTCAAAAGCATATAATTCAATTGTAGCTAATAGCTAGACTGATCAGGAAAATTGTTATATTATTTTATAAGCCTATATAAATTTGCACATAAAAATCCGTTTTCACTATGATGAACCATTATGGATCCATCCAAACTCTTTTTTTAACTGACATGAAAATGCCACTATCAGCAAGTTCCGACTAAATTGTCATGACTAACGCACACACACAATTGTCTTACTTCCAGTCCTGAAAGCTTTATTCACTTTTAAATCAAACCAAATCAATGTTAAATGAACACATTTCCAATATGGCGCCATGAACCTCAAACGCAAACTAACATTAAACCTCACAGGTTCTCGCACAAGGTTTGTA